GCTGGGTGTCTGCATGAAAATACTTGCTGAGGAGTTCGTTGTCCTGGATAGAGAGTGGTGCCCCTTGGGAAGGAAGGTATGGATAGGGTTGTATTCTAACCAGATTATTGTGGGACCAGTCTCCCAAGCAGTGTTCGTGCAGTACTGCTTGCATCCCGAAGAAAACTGCCCAGGGAGAAGCAGAAGCATAGAAGAGACTATTTGAAGTATGTGAACAGTGCCCTCCATCTTCTGCAAGGTCCCTAACTATTTCCATACTCTTGTATTTAGTTGAGCACAACAAAGGTAAAGAGAGATTTTGATTCCTCTCTGCAAATATGCCAGGGGAAATACCAGCATAATCTTTTTCCTCTAAGCAAAATGGATGCAAATGGCCTTTTTTTTTTCTTTTTTTTTTTTTTTTTTAAAGCTCCTTGCCATCAGGAGGGTAGAAGTTTTGAATGGCTTCAGAGAGAGCACTAGAATCAGGAAAAATCTTAACTTGTTTCAAGATGCTGTTAGATACATTTAGAGAAAATATGTGACTTGGTCATTTATGTCAAAGGAAGAAGGTCCCTGAATTCTCTATGGCTGTGCCTATATCAAGGAGTTAAACAGGCCTGAGCATCCCCCAGACAGTGAGGCCAACCAGCCCAGAAGGGCCCACAACCATAGAGCTCTTATTTTTCAAAATATGGTGTTAGCATCTAAACTGCCTATTGGGAAAGGTCTTATCACAGGGCATGTGTGGGAGACAGCAGGCTAGCCTCTGACCAAAACCATGGGAAGGACTGTTCTAAAAATTTCACAGTATAGATGATCAAGTTCCAGTGCCTGTGACCATGATTAATTTACTAGTACAGATGCCACCTTTTATTCTTCCTTCTCCAGTTCCTCTGTTCCATTATAGCCCCTGCACCAACTGTTCTCTATGTAATTGTGCTTCATAAAAGAGAAAACAAACCTTCCGGGCCAATAGCTACTGCAGAAAGAGTCAGGTAGGTTATGCCATTTCCCTGACACGCTGTGCTTCGTTCTTTCAGTTCTGTGTTTTGCTTCTGACAGAAAAGTTATTTCAAGTCCCTGAGTGGGCTGGTATGAAGGAAACTATGTGCTGGCTCAGAGTTCTTATTAATTTCAGCATATCATAGCCATTCCCAAGGAGTCACTGGAGTTCAGAGACCAAACCCTTTCCAACCCTGTTGCTTCTTCTTCAAATAGAGATATCTTCAGGAATCCAAGTCCACACTTTGTCTTATGTTTGCCTTCCTGCAAGTTTCTCTGCTGGTTTTCCTTGTTCTTTCTATTTGCCCAATTGTTTTCCACTGAAAAAGGAAAATAAACCCTTACAAAGTATTTAATTGCTCTAAGGCTGTCATAGCAATAACGCCGTAGGTGACACGGTCAGTGCTGCCACTAGTTCTGTGGTCTCAGCTGCTTCTAGCCAGAAATGAGTCATTCAAGTTTTTCACTAGAGAGAAAATCATGGGAGAAACTCACAAAAATGGATTGGCTGGGTCTTTATTTGTATGTGGTTTTACATAGTAAAATTGGTTTGTCATTAGAAAGAATGGAAATTTGTAGTATTTTTGGCTGGACCAGCATAGGTTCACACCCCAAGCTGATGTGAAGGATCCCCTGGGATGTTTTGGGTAGATCATAGCTTGACTTTACAATTGCCCCATGATAAAGCAAGGGGGAAAAGAAAGACCATGTTAGCTGTGATACTGTAATTCACCTCTACACCACAGCTGTTGTATAATGCCTTTTCCTGTAGGCTCAGCCATTCAATGTGCTGGCACTCCCTAAAGCATTCATGAAAATTTCTTGCCTATATCGCTGTCATTAAACCAATCTCCAAACTCTCCTATTTTCATCAAAATCATTGATCCATCTAGTCAGGTTTAAATTTAATAAATATTAAACATTTTAGTGAAAATGTTGATGCCAAATATAAACATTTTTGGAAAGAGTAGAGGCATATATCTTTTTGGAAGCCCGTGAAATAAAAACATGCCTAATATCTGGTTATTTTAGCCAGTTCTAATTAGCTCAGTCTGTAATTAGAAAGTCTAGAAGCTTTGTGCATACTAGGTCATGACTGGAGCGGCACATAATATGTATGCTCCATCCACTGTTTCACATAACTGAGGTCATGATCTCTTCCTGCAGAGCGGGAAGAAATATGGCACAGCACCTGTCTGCCCTAACGACGGAGTGACGCTGTGTAGGATGCTGGTTTCGGTCAGGATGAAACTATGTCCTGGAAGGGAGGAGCCCCAGAGCTGTTGCAAACAGCTGAGCCAAGATAAAATCTGTTAACACCAAGGTAGGCTCACAAGGAAGTAGTAGCAGAGCTGTAAGTATCTATTATACTACTGATAAAAGAATACCTAGAAGGTGCTTCCAATTACGAAATAATAGCTATACCTTAGGGATGAATAAACTCCAAAGCCAAGTGAGAGGTGTTTACTGGCTCACAGTTTTGTTATCGTTACTTTTGCAATTAATGAAAAGGGAGGGAGAGTTCTCAGGCTTCCTGCTGAGACAAAAAAAAAGCAAGGGGGGGGGGGGAAC